CCACCACCACCACCACCACGACAACCACGCACACACGCACGCACGCACGCACGTGCACCACCACCCACTACGCACGCGCGCGCGGAGCCACAGGTCCGCTACGACACGCGTCCGCGGATAGAGAAAATCAGCGCCATGGTAAGGGATGGGAGGGAGGGGTAGGACGTCAGATATGACGCGAGCGCACCTAGCTTGCCTCCCTCCCCTCCCTCCCCTCCCTCCCCTCCACTCCCTTCCCTCCCCTCCCTCCCCCCCTCCCCTCCCTCCCCCTTCCCCCTCCCCTTTCCCTCCCCTCCCTCCCCTCCCTCCCCTCCCTCCCCTCCCTCCCCTCCCTGAGGGGGGGGGGCGGGCGGCGCCCTGCTCCAGAGGCTGCGCACGCTGCGCTCGCCGCGCTTCGCCGACGTCGCCCGCGAGGCCGCCGACCGGGGGGTCAGCGCCTCCTGCCCGCCGAGGCTCGGAGCGGGGGGCGCGGAGGTGGCCGCTCGGGGGCGGCCCAGTGGGGGGGGCTTTGTGGGCCCCGGAAAAATGTCCCGTGAAAGCGGAAACGGCAAAAAAACGGCGACCGGACACGGCAACAAAAACGACTCCAGGATTGGAGCCGGAGCCGGAACCGGTCAAAAAACGGCGGCAGAACGGGTAAACAAACGGCGTCGGAACCGGCAAAGGAACGGCAAAACGGAACCGGTAAAAAAACGGCCCTGTCGTTTCCAGGGCCCACTGAGGGGGAAGAGCGTCCAGGAGGGGGGCTCGCCAATCGTGGCCCCAGGCATGTGCGCGGCCCGGGGGGAGAGCCAACGGACGCACGGAAGCAGGAGGAGGGGGCCGTGGAGTCCGGGGAGGTATCGTGGCCCCAGCCAGGACAGTTCCCCTCCTCCTGGTCGTCCCCCCCCCCCCCCTCTTGGCCGCCCCCGAGCCGAGAAGGGGGGGGCGGGAATGCAGTGCGGCAGGGATCGTGAGGATGCGCGGGAAGGGTGTGGCGCCCACAAACACAGCCAAAATTGGAAGCACGCTGAGATGGGCCAGAAGGTAATACGGTCGGGAACTTTTGTTTAGCGTGTCGCGGCAGCGGTTACAGCAACGCGGCACGCTATGCCTTGCCCGCGGATAGCTCGTCGCTCCGCTTCGCGGGGCGGGAGGCTGGGTGATGCTAGGGACGTTGACGCTTGAGGGTTCGGAAATGGTTAGCGTGAGGCACAGAAGCGTCGATGGCCAGAATCGGCGGTGCGACACGCCAAGCAAAATATCCTGCTCGTAAGTTCACTGAAGCATGAAATATTGCTCTCAGTGGACCCATGGTCTGCGGGTAGTGGGTATCCTTGGAGAGTTACAGTAGGGACTCGAACACAAGAAACCTCCCACAAGAAACCCAACCCTGAGACCCCAGGACGTGCATGAATATGTTCGGCGTGAGAACGCCTCGCTCTCCATCGCGAAACCATCGAACCCCAAGAAACCCAGGGCACCCTGGAGGCAAGAAGGGTGTTTCTTGGCATGGGCCTCCACTGTACCCACCAGTCTGCGGCGGCCGGGCCGCGAAGCAGCTGCGCGTGGTGGGGCACGGCCGCCGGCGCGTGGGCCCCGGGCAGCAGCTCTGTGCAGCCTGCGAGGCGCCGTGCGCAGACGGGGCGCCACGTGTGACGCGCCATCCGCGGGGCGAGCCACGTCGCCCCCCTCCCTCCTTCCTCCCCCTTCCTCCCTCCCTCCCTCCCTCCCTCCTCCTCTTCCTCCTCGTCGTCGTCGTCCTCCTCCTCCTCCTCCCCTCCCTCCTCCTCCCCTCCCTCCTCCCTTTGTTCCTGGCCCGCACTACCGTCGCACGTACTTCGACGCATGTGCATATGAAGCAGTCAGTCAGTCAGTCAGTCACTCATTACCAGATGCCGAGGCGCCAGAGGCATTCGACGGGACAAGCAGCGCGATGAAGCTCCTGCTCGCCCTGACGGCGCGGGCCGAGTGCACGCCTCCTCTCCTGAACGGCCGCCTCGAGACTGGCCTTTGGTGATGCCGAAGCGTGCAAGCAAAACATCCAGCACAAGCCCCCCTTCCTCCCCCGCCCCCCCTCCCTCCCCAAGCCCCCAACGTCATGATTGTTTCATTGCGTCGACCCCTCGAGGTCTCTACCCATTCCTTGGGACCGGTTTCTCGTCCTGGGTCGTTTTTGCACGGTCCCGAGGTCTGGCAAGGGCCTCCAGAAACCGAGACTGGCGAAGCGGTTTTTGCGTCGGCGGCCAGCCAGGGGTCGTCTGCGATGGCGGAAGGAACTGACTAAACTTGGGTACCGCTGTAGCGAATCGGTAGCGTCGTAGCGAAACGCCTCCCGTCGTGGATGTTTCACACGACTCGAGGGGGCCTGGGCCCCTCGCTCCCTCTGTCCTCGAGGCCGCCCCGCCCCGCCCCCTCCATGAGTCTCCGCGCGGGGCTCCCGCGCGGCGCCCCCGCGGCGCCCCCGACCGCGGCCGCCGGCAGCTGCACCGCGGCGCCCTCGACGCCCAGCGTGACCTTCCTCGACAGGGGGGCAGGGGGGAAGGGGGAGGAGGGAGGCCGGAGGAGAGGGAGAGCGAGGAGGAAAAGGGATGATGATGATGATGATGATGATGATGATGATGATGATGATGATGATGATGATATGATGATGATGATGATGATGATGATGATGATGATGATGATGATGATGATGATGATGATGATGATGATGATGATGATGATGATGATGATGATCATGACGATCATGATGATGATGCTGCTGCTGATGTGATGATGATGAGGAGGAGGAGGGGGAGGAGGGAGGAGGAGGGAGGAGGAGGAGGAGGAGGAGGAGGAGGAGGAGGAGGAAAAGGGGAGAGGAGGAGAAGGGAGGAATACATGGAGGAGGAGGGGAGGAGTAGGAGTCTGGAGTAGGAGTAGGAGTAGGAGTAAGGAGTAGGAGGAGGAGGAGGAGGAGGAGGAGGAGGAGAGGTGGGGAGGAGGAGGAGGAGGAGGAGGAGGAGGAGGAGGAGGAGGAGAGGGAGGCTGAGGAGGAGGATGAGAATGAGGAGTAGGAAGAGGAGGGAGGGAGGAGGAGGAGGAGGAGGAGGAGGAGGAGGAGAGGAGGAGGAGGAGGAGGCAGGACGGAGGGAGGAGGAGGGGAGGAGGAGGAGGAGGAGGGGAGGAGGAGGAGGAGGAGGAGGAGGAGGAAGGAGGAGGAGGAGGAGGAGGGAGGAAAAGGAGGAGGAGGAGGAGGAAGAACATGGAGGAGGGGGGGGAGATTTGAAGGAGAAGGAGGAGGAGGAGGAGGAGGAGGAGGAGGAGGAGGAGGAGGAGGAGAAGGCAGGAGGAGGGGAGAGGCAGAGGAGGAGGAGGAGAGAAGAGGGAGGAGGAGGAGGAGGAGGAGGAGGAGGGGAGGAGGAGGAGGAGGAGAAGGAGGAGGAGGAGGAGGAGGAGGAGGAGGAGGAGGAGGAGGAGGAGGAGGAGGAGATTTAGAAGGAGATAAGGACAAGGACATCAGCATAAAGGGGGTTCAGCGCCAAAACACCAGGAGGAGGAGGAAAAGGGACGAGGAGGAGGAAACAGGACGAGGAAGAGGAATAGGGAGTAGGAGTAGGAGTAGGAATCAAGCTAGCCAGCTCGAGCGAGTCAAGCATGGCATGCCCAGTCCCACCCGCCCTCCCACAACATAAGAAGCAAAACTGGCACAACTGGGGACCGAAGTCACACCGGCCAGCCGGTTTGGTACAGCTGATGCGGCCGCGATGGCGGTTGCCGACGGGAACTGGCGAGCGCATGTTGAATGCCGCGCACGCATTGCCAGACGAGTCGAGAATGGCCCGGTACACCGCAGGAAGCCAGAGGTGGCCGGAGGAAGCCCGACGGTCTGACAGGACACCCCAAAGCATTTTTGTGAAAAAGCATTGGGTTTAAATCGCTGGATTCGACCGAATTCTTAAGATTCCTATGGTTTTCCTATGATTTCAGCAAGAGAGCCCGGGCGGGAAATTTGTACAATTTTTGTGAAAAAGCATTGGGTTTTTGATGTTTTTATGTTGAAATGCTTGCAAACACACGGTGTTCGGTAGGATTCTGACATGAACGCGCGCGTGTGCTCTTTGTGGTATTTTTTGCAATGGATTATCGCCGTGGACGACAGGACGTCCATGTCGAGAGGAAAAAATAAGAAAAATGTTGATTTTGTATTGTTTTTTACAGGTTAGGATGGGACCACCCGGATGCGGCCCCTAATGGCCGGCCTGAGGGGGGAGTAGGAGTATATTCTAATAAGGAATAAGGATAGGGAATAGGAGGAGAGGAGGAGAGGAGGAGGAGGAGAGGAGACGGAGGAGGAGGAGGAGGAGGAGGAGGAGGAGGAGGGAGGAGGAGGAAAAAGAGCAGGAGGTGGAGGGGAGGAGGACGAGGAGGAGGAGGAGGACGAGGAGGAGGAGGAGGAAGAGGACGAGGAGGAGGAGGACGAGGAGGAGGAGGAGCGCGAGGCACCGAAACGATCGTCTTGCAGGACAGACGGCTGACAAGGCTAAAGCGCATGCGGCAGGGGCCGCCGCAGCAAGGCAAGGGGTAAAGCAATGGGGCTTCCCCCCGCGAAGAACCCGACGCCACCGCAAAGAGGCGGCCATAGCCACCCTGGCGCGGACGCCAGGATGGAGGGACCAGCGCGCAGACTGAAATGGGTCCGGGTTCGGGTTAGGCTTGGGTCAGCAGCGGCGGCGGCAGCAAACCTGGGGCCCATCTCGTACGGGCGCCACTCGCAACGGTGTCTGAGATATACACATTGCGCAACACACGCAGTCAGCCTGGTTTGTCCTCTGCTGGGGCCATCTGACTGCGTCTGGGTTTCCTGCAACTCCCTCGCGACTTAGGCGAGGGGGAAAGGGGGCTCGAAAAACAAAAACAAGCGGGCATTGCCTTTCGGATGGCGACCCCCCCAAACCCTCGTTAATTGGAGCTTTATCCGATTGCTGGGGGGGGCCTGGGACAACTCGTCTGGAAGCCTCGGCCATCCTGCTGGATAAAAGAGCCACACTTTCGGTACATCAGCACGCTGAGAGGGACATTCGGATCTATGTGTCCGAAGACATGGATATCGCGCCCACGGGGGTTTGTCAGAAGTTGGGAATGGTGGGCACAGAAACCTGCACATCGTTCGCGCACCCGTGCAAGTATGATTCGCTCGCTCCCGCACCTGGCGCGACGAGCGGAGCATATCCAACGATCGCCCATTGGCGCGGTTTCCCGGGGACCCGCTCGACTGAGGGAGGGGGAGGCCTCGGAAAAGGAGGGGGAGGAATGTCAAGCCCCCAGGCTAGACCTGCAGCAGCGGCCCCGGCGGGCGGGTTCAAACATTTCGCGGGTTTTTTTTTCCAGACCTCGGCCTCTGGCTTTACGGGGCCGCCGTAGGCCGCAACTGGAGGGCCTCGCAAACGAATCGTCAAAACTTCGCAAGGAGATTCGCCTGAACCTCAGCGGCCTCTACTTATTATTGACCGCTGGGCCGATGCCCCTTGCCACCAGCTATCTTAGCAAGTTTCTCAGCCGCGGCGTTGCCTTTAGCCCGCCTGCATTCCGAGCTGCCCTGTTCGACGTCGTCGAAGACCACGTGGGCTTTCATTTGTTGTGAAGACCTGGGGCCACGCGGACACGGGCAGCCCCGCGTGGCAGTTTGAAGGCACCGTGAACATTCCCGCGGGCAAAGGGTTTTCGGTGGACTTCGTTAGGACATTTGCAACTCTTCATAAATCTGGGCGCGTGGATCAGCGTTGCGAGCAGTAGCGAACACCCCCCAGCGCCCAGCAGTAGGAGAGGTGGGAGAGAGGGGGGGGGCCCTCGCGCACGTGCAAATTTGCAAGCACGTCGCCATGGGTGTCTACTGTAACCAAGGCCCAGCCAGGAGCATTATATATACACATGTGTATAGCATGCCCATCTTGCTTCGTGCGCGATCCGCCGGCGAAAGCATCTGAATGAAACGCTTGTCGTGGCGACAAGGTCGGGCCACGACACCGTGGCGGACCACTTTCGCGGCCGAGTTCGTCGGGGGGGGCCGTGCCGAACTCATCGGCAAAACGGAAGCCATGGGCCAAAAATTGGTTAGTCTATCTGGTCGAGCTCGTCTTAAGTGGACTCAAGCTCTTCTTGTCGCAGCATTCGCGCTCTGGCGGGGCCTGGTAGCCTGCTGCGATTAGACGATCGCGTGTCCAGACGCACTGCGTGAGATTCGGTGCTGAAGTAGACCTGGCTTTTTTTTTCTCATCGGGCTCGCCTCCAATTTCCAATGTCCTGGCAGCCTTGACATCGAGGACCTCTTGGAGAAGCCCTCGTTTGGCACCGGCTTTCTGCGGGGCCAGCCTGCCCCAGCCACCTGCATCTTCTAGGCCGCCGTTTTGGGCGTGCAGGTCGCGGGCGGGCACCGGCCCCGTTTGCGCCCTGGGCCACGTGCAGCCAGTTTTTTCTTCCAAATCTCGAGGCTCCGCGTGATTGGTGGCCTGGGTAGTCGCTCTCCACGCCGTTGTGGCCCATGTCAAGGCTGGGCCTCCTTCTGCGCGCCGCATGGGATCTCCCGAGGCGGCCGAACTCATCGGCCTACTTCGGGCAACGCATCTCGACCCAGCTGTGCGCGAATATTCGGTTCGGGTTTTGCGGAGCCAGTTGTTGTCGACGCCCGTCACCTCCGCCCTTGAAATCAATCCTTACTGCGCGCCAGTCCTCCAAAGCTTCCCCGCGCCCCCCCCCGCCAATTTGATCGCGCGAAACCCGCGCCGTTGAGCCCGATGCCCGGTGAACCTCTGATAGCCCCCGCAGAGCTGGGCGTCGTCGGGGCCCGCGTATTTTCCATGGGCTCGGCGGATTTGTTTGCGCACCCCTTGGGCCGCGCCTGTAACCTGAGCCTCCCGCTGCGCGAACATGCGCTCGACATCGACCTGGATGAGGACTGCCAGTCCAGCGGGCGGCCCAGCGCTGCAGCTGCGCACGAATGCTCTAGCGCCCTGGCGTTGGCGCCCCACAAAACAATCAGCAATAAACACGCGCAAGTCAGTGCCTCTTGGATTCTCCCCACCCCAGGCGCCCAGGGGCCCCCGGCAATGAACTTGCACTTGAAGGTGGCCCATCCGCGGCCGGCGGCAGTCCCTCGGGTCTGGTATTCCACCATCTGAACCAAGTCCCGCATGGCCGCGGGGCGCTGACTGCTGCGCTGCTCTAGAATGACATTTTGAAGGGCGCGGCCGAGGCCCGCGTCGCGAGCCTGGTCAATCAGCTCATCGCGGCTGATGCGCTCGTAGTAGTTGCGAAGGCCCCCCCAGCGCTGCACCTGAGAATAGAGCTTCAGGCCGAGCAGCTCCGCTCTCGGCCTGCAGGTTCTGCCGAAATACTACCTCCGCGATGCTCTCTCCCGCCTGGTGGGCCAGGAATGCCCATCGATGCGCGAGCCCCCATTTGCGGGCTTCATGTCGCTGGACCTTGGACCAGAGGCGACGAAGCCCTATCCCGCGGAACTGAGCCAGACTAAGGGTGGACTGA